CCGGCAGAGGGTGTGGGGGAAGCCGCGCGTCCCTGGGAGCCGGGGGCAGGCCTCGCCTCTGCCTGCGGGGCCGCGTCTCAGCCTGAGCCCGAGGAGGGGCACAAGGGTCTGAGGTCCTTTGCAAAAATCAGACGAACTTGTGGCTGGGCTCGGGCCTTGCCCTGTCATGGGCCAGCAGAGGAGCAGCCCATTTCACCGTGGGGGAGGAAAGGCCGGGTACGGGACTGTGCCTCAGACCGACCTGTGGGCCTGTCCTCAGAACAGCCGTGGGAGAAGGGTGGCGGGACGCGTGGGCTTGATTCTGTCTTCCAGACCAGGAAATTGAGGCTAAAGAGAGCGACTGCAGGGACAGCCCCCGGCCGGGGCGGGCTGGGTTGTGAGCAGGGAAGGGTCCCCGGGGCCTGCTTCAGGTGTGGATGCACCCAGCTGTTTGCTTCTCAGCCTCCACCTTCTATGGTTTTTCCAGACCTAAGCGCAGCCCCTTGGGTGGCCCACCGCCCGTCCTCCGTGCACGGTGTCATCGCACAATGAAAGTTGCTTGCAAGACCGAAACAAAAAATCCCGCCACTTCGGATCCCGGAACCGCTGCCTTCTTTTCCCAGCAGGCTGCCTGGCCTGCCAAGTCTCTCCACTTTGTTGAGTGTGCAGGAGCAGGAATTTCCTCTCTGGGACCAGCATGAGTCAGCCTGCTGGACGCCTCAGGCCGAGGGAGGGGACCTTGGGAGCGGAGAAGCAGGCTTTGCTGATCCCCAGGCTGGTTGTCAGATCATCCCGAAAACCCTGCCTCCCGCTCGCCGCGGTGGGATCACCCACCTACTTTCTTCCTTCTATCAGTCACAATATTTGTTGAAGTCTGATAGGCGAATGGCAGCTTGGAGTCCTCGGAGGGTGGGGAGGAGCTAGAGTCACAATGGTGTTTGTGGGTGCACATATGTGGGTTGGGCAGAGGGAGGGTGTGGGACTCCCCTTGCCTGGGGGGCTGGGGCAGAGCCACCCACCTCACTGGTGATCGAGGAGGGGGAGTGCAGACCACAGTTAGGGCACCCGCGCTGCCTGAGAGCCATCCCTAAAGGGCGGGAAGGGAAATGGAAAGTTGAGGCCCCGCGGAGGAGGGCATCTTGAATCCAGGTTGAAGAGATTGGGAAGCCGGCCTTGTGGGTCCTTCCTGTCTCTGTCTTGGTCCCTCCTTTGGTACTCCTAGGTGCTGATTACTTTCCTCTCTGGGGGTAGTTTCCCACCCACAGCCTGAAAGGGCTGCGTCCAGAAGTCCCGGCTGGGGAAATAGTGGCCACACAGTGGTGTAATACAGCTGTTTCCGTTGCCTCCGTTTGTGTTCTGCACTTCCTGTGTGCCAGGCACGGTGCGTCTCTTGCCCTCTAGCCCAGCTGCATGAGGTAAGTGCACCATTAACCCTGCTGGCCCTGTGTGTCTGCACAGCTAGGGAGCTGCCGGGCTTGGAGGCAAAGTGCACCTTCTTTTGGGTCTTGCTTTGCAGTTCAGGCTGGCCTTGAACTCACTTTGTAGCCCAGGCTGGCCTCAACTCAAAGTGATCTGCCTACCTCAGCTTCCTGAGTGCTGGGATTAAAGGCCTGTACCACCACACCCACCTTACAAAGTGCACTTTTAATGCGTTAATATTATTGCCTAGTTATCGCAGACTGATCAGGCCTGCAGTCTCCCAAAGGAGTGTGTGGCCAAGGCTTAAATAGCAGTCAAGTGGTAGGATTTTAGGGCTCCAGGAGGCTCAAAACCCTCCAACAGAATTTGAGGTTCTCTGGGGGCTGAGACAGAGATCTTCTCTGGGAGGCCTGTATTTATTTAGTTATCAAACAAAGCGAGGGAGTCCTGAAGAATGTGAGCAGGACCTTTTAAGCACCTTGGGAGTCTGCTCAAGGACTTCTCTAAGTAAGACCTTACATTAATTTAGGAGAATATGTTATCTCCAGGTTGACCTTCACAGGAGCGAGGTGCCTGAGAATACAGTCTTTATCTAGTTAATTGAGGTTGGAGCCAAGTGTCCTTAGCTGTGGCCTTGTTCTTTGAGGTGTCCTGGTTTCACCCACCATTACAGGCCTCATTGGGAACCAGTGACTCACAGAGGTTCACTTACTATGAGTCCGCTGCCCATCTCCAGACAAGGGCCTGGGCCTTGGACAGGCTCACAGGCAAACGTGGAAAGCCAAGCGGTTAATTTAAGTCCTGCTCAGAGCTGCTTCACAGTGGTCTCCATCACACGTAACTCCCAAAAGCCGTATAACCGCGGGGCTGTTGGTTTCAGTGTCTTGCTCGAATGGACTAGGTACCTGGTAAACTTTGCCCCGTTGACTTGGAACCCAGCAGACCAACAGTGTTGGGCCGAGCCCGGCATGCGGCCACCCTACCTGCGTCTCCCAACTGCTGGTGGGGAACCTGGCACTGAGGAAGCGGCCGTGGTTGGTTCTCTGACGACCTAGGCTTGGACGCCTGAGCAGCACTGAGCGTGGGTGTGGGGTGAGGCTGAGTTTGTAGCCGGGAGGCACATGTGCAACGGCGTGGGTAGTCAGAAGGCGCACTCTGGGGGCCCGGCTTTCGAGGCACAGCTTGGGTTCTCTGGGCCCCTCTGAGACGGACACCACTGGACAGCACTGTTGCACGAATGGGGAAGCTGAGTCAGGATTCTGGTGGCGGAGCTGGGATTGGGGCTGTTGTTTCCCGGTGCTCTCGGTATGGGAGGGCGGCCCAGGTCGTCTTAGCAGTTGGGTGTCCGTCTCAGCTCATTCGGGGGCCCGTGTTGCCCTGGCAGGCCCCGGGGGGCAAGTAGTGATGGTGGGGCACTCAGGCAGGTGGAGCCGCTCGCCCAGAGCAGGGACCTGTCTCTGGTTCTTGTTTTCTGGTCCTGAGCCTCTGTACCGGAGCCAGGTGTCAGGACTCTGGGTGTCAGCAGCTCCTTTTTCGGGCATCCCACAGTGGCTCAGAACTCAGGGCTCGGAATCAGACGGTGTGGGGTTTTGATGCCCGATGCTACCACAGCATCCTGATGGCTCTTGGTGTGCAGTGAGTGTCCCGGTCTGTGCTAGCCAGTCCGTGCCAGCCATCAGCAGCAACCAGTTCCTCCACCCCACCTGGCCCGGGGGCTCCTGGAGGCAGGGATCCTGTCCAGCCTTTCTTTTGTCTCTGACAGTGTGCCCTCATGCCACGTGTGGTGGCATTTCATAGATGTGGGAGGACAGACAGATCTGGTGCATGTCGTCTGCACATAAGCTGGACGGTCCCCTCGGGATGGTGACAAAGTGCACTTTTAATGCGTTAATATTATTGCTTAGTTATTGCAGACTGATCAGGCCTGCAATCTCCCAAAGGAGTGTGTGGCCAAGGCTTAACCAGTCTTTCATAGTGTGGGGCTCTGTCCGTAATATCTAATCCCTCTTGTAAGAGCTGCTCAGGCGAGGGGTGACAGCCAGGGTGACGGTCTTCCTCTGCTTCCCTGAGGAAGCAGGCGCTAGGTGCACACTGCTGTGTTCGTGGTAGGCCGGTGCTGAGTGAGTCACCTGGTCTCCAGGTGTGCCCCTCCTGCACCTTCTCAGGGTGTTGTCCTGTGACTCGGGCTGCTCGGCCAGGCCAGGACATTGTCTCGTGTTGTGGAGCCCCCAGAACCGCGCACTCCTGTAAAATCACCCATGGAGCCACCAGGGACTCGAGACCCTGGCCCTTGGAAAACGAGTGTGACTTCCTGACACCCACAGAGTGGTCCCACCCTGTTGTCAGTCAGTCCCGTGCTTCGGTGTGGAGCTGAGGACGGTGCCACCACCCTCTGGACACAGCTGGGGAGCGACACGATGAGCATTTGAGTTCTGCCTGTGGACCCCATGCTAATTCATTCATTCACTCACTCACTCATTCTCCTGCAGTACTGGGGATGGTATCTGAGGCCTCACGCATGCTATGTAAGTGCTGTAACTTGAGTGCCTTCCCCAGCCCCAATTCTTAAATATCACTACGGATTGGAAAATAGAGTCTCTAAGCTCCACGCAGTGTATTTGACTGGAAGAAAAGTCTCCCAAACCTTTAAGTTGTAGTAGTTTCTTCTTTTTTTGTAGGGGGCAATAGTTTCTTTTCTTTCTTTCTTTCCTTTTTTTTTTTTTTTTTTTTGTCTTTTTGAGACAAGATTTCACTATGCTATTTAGGCTGGCCTTGAGCTCACTTTGTAGCCCAGGCTGGCCTCAAACTCACAGTGATCCTCCTGCCTCAGCCTCCTGTGTGCTAGGATTATAGGCGGGCACCACCACGCCTGGCCTATGGGCAATAGTTTCTTGTCTTTATGCCTTTCTCAGTGCCATGCAGTTGCTTAATGCAGATGACCAGGCTGTTTACGTTGCAGAATTTTCCACAGTGTGGGTGGCCGCTGTTCTGGAATCAGTGGCTAGACCTAGGGGGTGGACGGGGTCAGCCCCCAGCAGCTTTCCCGTGTGGCACATGAGGGCAGGGCCCAGTTTCAAATCATCAGAGCTCGCAGCATTGCAGCACAGTTAACCAGCTCCCTGAGAAGCTCCCAGGCCAGGTGTGAGAACAGGTGCGCAGCGCTGGACAGAATCGGTGTGGGCCCACGGACCACAGCGTTTTCACTCTCCCTGCCCTATGGCTTGGGGTGAAGATGGTGCTAGGAACCTCTGACCTTGAGTTCATCGTGTAGCTTAGGCTGGCCTTGACTCAGGGATCGTCTGAGTGCTGGGCTGGTTGGTGTGTGCCGGCTGGCCCAACGCACTTCCCCCGAACTTTTATCAGAAATGTTGGGATTGCCTGGCGGGGCTGCTTTAGGTGTTTGTGGGCGCAGTGCTTGCAGGGTCCTACACTTGGTCCCCACAACCTCACAGCCTGTGCATGGGAGGGGGGATCCCCTAAAAAAGTAGTGGGTTCTGGAAGAGTGGGGCCCTGGAGGCTGGGCAGATGGAGAAGCAGAAAGTAGCGGTGTTAACAAAATGTGCTGGTGATTCCGGCGGCTGACGTCTGGGTCTCCGTTACAGGTGCAGTCGCTGCAGGCCACGTTTGGGACATTGGAGTCCATGCTGCGGAGCTCCCAGCACAAGCAGGACCTCACGGACAAAGCCGTGAAGCAAGGCGAGAGCGAGATCGGCCGCATCGGCGAGGTCCTGCAGAAGCTGCAGAACGAGATCCTCAAGGACCTCTCCGACGGCATCCACGTGGTGAAGGATGCCCGAGAGCGTGACTTCACATCTCTGGAGCACACGGTGGAGGAGCGGCTGACGGAGCTCACCCGCTCCATCAATGACAACATCGCCGTCTTCACCGACGTGCAGAAGCGGGGCCAGGAGGAGATCAACGAGGTGAAGGCGAAAGTGGCCGCACTGGAGGAGTCTGGGGAGGACCGACAGGCCCTGAAGGCCCTGAAGGCCACGGTGCAGGAGGTGCAGGGCGCGGCCAAGTCCCGGAGCGAGGAGCTGGTGGCCCTGCGCCGCTCCCTGCAGACCCTGGAGGCCGAGGTCTACAGTGAGGTTCGGGAGCTGGTGAGCCTCAAGCAGGAGCAGCAGGCCTTCAAGGAGGCTGCCGAGGCCGAGCGGCTGGCCCTGCAGGCCCTTACCGAGAAGCTGCAGCGCTCGGAGGAGGCCGCCTCGCACCTCCCAGATGAGGTCAGGAGGCTGCAGGAGGAGCTGAGCCAGTTGCGGGCCGAGGCCCCGCGGCCGGAGGGGGACGGTGGCTCTGGACACGCGGACGCCCTGGACGTGCTGCTGCAGAAGGGCCAGGCCCTGGATTCTAGGCTGCAGGGTGTGGAGTCAGGCGTGCAGGCCCTGCAGGAGGCCTCTGCGCGCCAGGCTGAGAGCCTGCGGTCGCTGGTGTCCAGCAGCCAGGACCACGAGGAGCGCCTGGCCGCGCTGCAGGGCCGCCTGCAGGGCCTGGGGCCCGAGGTGGACAGGGACAGGCTGGCCAGCACGGTGCAGAGCCTGGGCGAGGCTCAGCTGGCACTCTACGGCGACGTGGAGGCGTTGAAGAGGAGCGTGGGCGAGCTGCCCGGCACCGTGGAGTCGCTGCAGCGGGTGCGCGAGCAGGTGCACGCGCTGCTCAGGGAGGACCCGGCCGCTCGGCCGCCCACCTCGGACCTGCTGGACAGGCTGTCCTCGCTGGACAACCTCAAGTCCTCAGTGAGCCAGGTGGAGTCGGACTTGAAGATGCTCAGGACTGCTGTGGACAGCTTGGTCACCTACTCGGTCAAGATCGAAAGCAACGAGAGGGACCTGAAGGGCGCCTACGCGGACCTGGACGTCCTGAGGAAAGACCTCGACAGGTTGTTTGTGGAAGTCGAAAGGATTTACGAGAAGTTCTAAGCGGTGGTGTGTGCAGGCGAGGATTCCCAGGCAGGTTTCTCCAGACCAAAAGGTGTGTTGTCTCCTCTCCTCCCACGAGGTACCCCCACCTCGAGCCCCCCTGAAGAACGCCTGTTGCCGGGCGCTATGGTTCTGTGCCTGGCTGTCCCGGGCGATCGCCAGTTTCTTTGGCCTCTGCTGTTCCTTGCGGTTGGCGTCCTGGAGGCCTGGCTGCCAGGGACGGCGCAGGCTCTAGGAGGGCAGCGTTGTATCAGGAAAACGGCAGTGACCACAGCCACGGATTCAGAGGCAGATGAACGCTGACCTCGGAGACCCTGTTTGGTGGCCAGATTTCAAGTTAAAAAAAAAAAAAAAAAATGGAGGGCACACTTTTTTTTTCTTATTGTCCTTAAGGAACATTAATTTTTACCTTTTTTTGTTTATTTTTATACTTTCGGCCAATGTTTTGTGGCATCTCTCTTGCTTCTTGTCCTCCTCTTAAAAGTGGTTGGAATGCGTAGATGTCAGCTGAGGCGGGGCCTGGGCTCACCTTCATTTTAAATGGGTCAGCTGCCTGAGGTCACCTGCCTGAGGTCCCCCGGGGCCTGGGTATCTCTCCCATTCCCCAGTCCTCCGGTGACATCGAAGGTAACTGCCAAGCACCAGAATGTGGAGGTGCGGTGCCCTGAGTCCCTGGTGCCCTTCTGCCCCTGGTGGCCAACCTGTGCCAACCCTTGGGGTGGGCACCAAACCCTTGGGTGTGAATCCCAGGGAGGAGAGCAGGTTTCTCAGGTGCTGATTTTAAGTGCTGCTCAGAGTCTCCCAGGCAGTGGGGCCAAATAATGTTTTTATTTCAGCGGTGGAGTGGGTGAGGAGGTCTGCCGCCGGGGTGGAGCCCTGCCATGGTACCTGTTTCCTGTACCCCTTCCCCTTGGAGCTGTGTTGTTCTTTCACGGCTATGTTGCCCTTCCAGGAAAAAAAAAAAAAAAAAAAAAAAACCCTGAAAAGTAAAAGAAAGGAAAAAAAAATTTCTTTAGTTTACTGTGAAAGGAACTGTATGGCTCATTTACAGTATTTTTAATTCTTAATAAACTCTTGAGCTTTGTTAAGACTTTGCCCGAGTGGTTGCTTTGTGAGCACTTCTTATTGTGTGTATTTCATCAGCATGCAGCGTGGAGCGGGAGGAAGGAGGTAAGTTTTCAGTGTCAAGGCTGTTGTTTTCAGTTTTCCGTCCTCCAGCCACGCCGGCCTTGCCCCTGGGCCTGGGATGCCCTTTGCTGGCCGCGAGGTCATTTGTGGCTGTTGTCTCTGGCTTGCAGCTGCTGCGGAGGTCCTGACCTGGCCGCCTGTTGGCATCTTCTGGGGAACCGGAAGGAGACACCCGGGCCCTGCCTGGAGCGCACAGCGAGCTGGCCTGTGCACGTGGGAGCCTCCCGGGGGTGCTGACCGGAGTCAGGCTGCTCCGCTGTCCCGAGGCCGTCCTGGAGCCCCTCCCGGGCACACGGCCCGTGTCCCTCTCCTCCACTCGGGGCAGGGCCTGTCTGCCTCGCTGTGCTCCTTGGAGGGGCAGTAGGCTGAACTGCCGGCCGGGTCTCAGGAGGAGGTGAGACCTGAACACAGCCCTGCTCTCAGGCGGCTGCGGGGGTCTTCTCTGCCCCTAGGGAGCGAGGGCTTCACCTCCTTCCTGCTGGGTGCCTGTGCCTCCTTGTTTGTAAATTGGAGTGGGACCCTCGCTTCTATTTATACTTTAAGGTCATTTAAAATTTTTTCTTCAAAATACATAGCTTTGGTTTTCAATGATTTTGTGTCGAGGACCCGCAGATTCACAATGGCTGCTTTTCCACACTTCCCTAAGTGATAAATGGAGGCCTGGGATTACTGGTGTCACCCTTTTGAGATTTCCCGTTATCCCCACCTACAAAGACTAAGACTGCTCAGGGTGGGACTAAAGGTGCTCCAGTGCAAGAGCCGCACTAGTTTAAAATCACCGCCCCCTGAGTCATCCATAACCCCTGATAGTCCCTTCTTCAGGCAATAAATTCAAGGTTCTGGCTGCGTCGGGGTCTTTTGAACAACTGGTTGACCCAGAGATCCTGCTGCACTGCTGTCCCTTGCCCTTTGTCTCTCTCCCGTCAGTGCACCACATAGCACCCGGCGGGAGATTGGGGGCTCACGGCAGGGGGGGCGGCTCTCACTCCACGGGTCTCCGATAATCTTGAAGTCCAGTGGCGGTTAAGTATGTTTCCCGCATTACTTTTGCTCACACAGGGCGCATCACGGCACACACTCCCACGTGTGGAGAAAGTTAAGTTCTAGCCCGGCGCCTTCTCAGGCCGCGTGGTCATGCTGCGTGTAGTCTTGTTCTCCTGTAATTTCTGTAGTCCCTAATTGCAGGCTGGAGTGGCTTCATAGGTTGTCAGTTAATACTGTAGGAAATATACATGCATCAGGTAAATAATCATAGATTAAAATGCTGAAAATAAATGTTTTAGAAGTGTACATACTCCTAGTGATAAGGAAGTTAAGATTCCGTTTAACCCTAAGTAACAGAATTCAGTCTTGCTCATGTGTCTGGTTACTCATTCACCTTTTTTTTCCCGAGACGGTCTCATATTGTTCAAGGCTAGCCTCGAACCCACTGTATAGCCTAGGCTGGCCTTGAAGTCAGCGATCCTCATGCCTCAGCCTCCTGAGTGTTGGGATTACAGGTGTGCACCATCGTGCTTGGCTGAGATATTCTGCTAAAGCTCAGTGAAATAAAGATGGACTGAAATAAAGATGATCCTGTCCTCATATGTCCTGTAGTCTGGTTGTGACAGTTGTGTACATTGGCAGTTGTCGAGAAATTACGAGTCCTGTAGCCTGCAATAGTGGGCGGTGGGGTGGCAGAGGCCAGTTGTGCCAGGGTTGGGTAGAAGTGATCAAGACAGGTTGCAAAGGCCTGTGGGTAGTGCTGTGGAATGCTTCCAGGAGCAGTGGGAACTTGGGAAATGTCTGGAAGTCCTGCCTTTTGGACAAAGGATGGGCACAAATTATTGAAGAAACTGCAGACCCAGCAACAGGAAAGAAATCCCCTCGCCAGGACTGAGCACACTGTGTAGATATGGTGATGGTGATGGAGGGGATGGTGGTAGTGGAAATGGAGATGGTGGTGGTGGTGGAGATGGTGGTCGTGGTGGAGATGGAGATGGTGATGGTGGTGAAGATGGAGATGGTAGTGATGGAGATGGAGATGGTGGTTGTGGTGGAGATGGTGGTGATGGTGGAGATGGTGGTGGTGGAGATGGAGATGGTGGAGATGGAGATGGTGGTGGAGATGGTGGAGGTGGTGGTGGAGATGGAGATGGTGGAGATGGAGATGGTGGTGGAGATGGTGGTGGTGTTGGAGATGGTGGTGGAGATGGTGGTGGTGTTGGAGATGGAGATGGTGGTGATGGAGATGGTGATGGTAGTGGAGATGGTGGTGGTGATGGAGATGGTGGTGGTGGTGGAGATGGTGGTGGAGATGGTGATGGTGATGGAGATGGTGGTGATGGAGATGGTGATGGTGGTGGAGATGGTGGTGGTAGTGGAGATGGTGGTGGTGGTGGAGATGGTGATGGAGATGGAGATGGTGGTGGTGATGGTGATGGAGATGGTGATGGTGGAGATGGAGATGGTGGTGGAGATGGTGGTGGTGGTGGAGATGGTGATGGTGGAGATGGAGATGGAGGTGGTGGTGGAGGTGGTGATGGTGGTGGAGATGGTGATGGTGGAGATGGAGATGGAGGTGGTGGTGAAAATGATGAGGGTTATAATAACAATAATACCCAGGACATTTGGGAGGGTTGAAATGTCACCAGGCTGGGTCTGAGAGATTCCTGAAGCTGAGATGGGGGACTTAGCTCACCCTTAACAGAATGTTTGCAGATTCGCTGACTGCTGTTGTGGAAAAAGAATCTCCAGGATGCGTCAGGAAGAGGCCATGGCAGGTTTGGGTAGGCAGAGGAAAAAGTCCACGGTCGGGAGTGGAGTGTGGGCGTTTGGAGAAGCGAGACATTATGACCTGCAGCGGGGAATATTTGTGGGGTTTTGGGGTGTCTAGGATGGGCAGTCTGGGATGTGCTTTCCCACTGTCTGTCACGGTACCCGTCGGGGGCCTCCTCAGGACGCAATGACCGTCAGGTGCGCGGAGCTGCGCTCCCTGTGCTTGCTCACAGCTGCTCCTTTGCGGGTGGAGGCGGCGCGGCCGATGCGTGGGAAGGCCGGGCCCGGAGCCCGGGCTGCAGGTCCATGGCGTCCAAGACCTTGAGGAATTTTATTGGAAAGAGTTTCTTGGACAGGAAAGAGGCTTGTGTAACTTTTGTGTTCTGAGGCTGCAGTTTGTCTTAAAAGTACAGTTTTAAAAATCCCGACTTCCGTGTCTGTCTTCTGCCTATTTTTTTGTTTCTGCTCTCCTACCTCAGGACGGGGCAGTGGCCGGGGAGGGTGGGATCCTGAGGCTCCAGCACAGTCCGAGGGGCGCGCGGGGCCGGCAGGCGGGGTGCTGGGTCTGAGGGCGGAGCGGGCACAGCGAAGGACATTTTTCTGCAGCGGTGGGATGCCAACAAAGGTTTTAAGTGGGGCAGGGAGAGGACCATGCTCCAAGACTCAGGGCTCCAGTTCTATTTTGTTTTATTGAGACAAGGTCTTGCTGTGTAGCTTGGGCCAGCCTCAAACGCACTCCTGCCTCAGCCTCCCCACTGCTGAGATTGCAGGTGTGTACTAGCACACCTGGCTTCAAGCAGGGTGGTTTTAATAGCTGTCACCTCTTACTAGGTAGCAGTCCTTCACCTCCCATTTCCCTAGTCAACCTCCTGACCGGATTCCGGCTCACACAGAAGGCTGTCGACCGGGAAAGCATTTTCTGACAAAGCGCGCTGATCCTATAACCATAGGCGTAGGATGTCCGGACCGTTACTGTGAGGTGGTACAGAGCCCAGCCTGGGCAGACGCTCAAGAGATGGAGGGAGGAAGGGAAGGGGTGAGGCCTGACAGGGCTCACACCCGCAGCCAGCGCCCCCAGAATGTGGTCAGTGCTGCTGCAGTTTCCAGTAAAAACAAAATTGAAACAGGAATCGGGTGGCTCGGCCACTGCAGCGGCTCTGCTCGAAGACTGGTCGACTCCTCCGGACTCCGCCTTGGTGCCAGGGCTGGAGGTCGGGCAGGGCCGTCTCTCCCGTTCTCGGCGTCTCATTTTCCACCTCGGCGAAAGGCGGAGTTGTCTACACCCGGTGCTGAAATTCCGGGAGGCTCCTGGGAAGCGGGTCGAAGCAGAGCATGGTGCCACCCTGCAAGGCCAGGCCAGGCGCGGAGGGACACGGCGAGTTTGCGCCGCTGTGCACTTTGTGACGATGTTTTCTGCAGCTCCGTCCAGTTCGCAGCGCGCAGGGGTCAGTTCCCGACCCCGAGTGGAGTTGGTCCGGCGCGCAGCTCCTCTCCGCCCTTTCACGGCCCCCGCGGCCTCCCCTCCCCCACCTCTTGGTCTCTCTTCCTTTTGCAAAAGTTCTGCCTCCCTGTGTCCTATTACCTGTCTTTTATTTTTCTCTTTACTGTACTTCTGCTTTGGATTTCTCCTATGAGAGAAAGCACGTGATACTTAACCTGTGCGTCTGATTTATTTCGCTTAGCATTATGGTCCCAAGGTGCATCCGTTTTCCCACAAATCCCCCCTTGGTCCTTCTTTACGGCAGCGTAGTGCTTCGTGGTGTGTCAGTGCCACGTTTTCTGTACCCACTCACCTGCTGATGGCCACGGAGGCTGCTTCCAAGTCTTGGCTGTTGGAGGTCGTGCTGCTGTGAACGAGTGCGCGTGGATCCGTGCAGTGTGACGTCTTTAACTCTTTGGGGAAGGTGTCTTCTAGCTGGGCCGAACAGAATTTCTAGTTTTAGTTTTTCGAGGACTGTCCACACCGATCTCCACAGTGGCTCACTGTTCACACCCCACTGCCCGTGTACAAGGCCCCTCTCTACCCTAACCCTGCCAGCTCTTGTTATTATTTGGTTTGATGGCAGCTGAAGAATTCGTGTGCCCGACAAGCGCAGACCAGTCTGCTATGGCTGCCGAGGTCACAGTTTGAGAGCTGCCGGGG